CTTCATCCACACCGTGAAGCTGCAAAACCAACACAATCATTTTGTTACCATAACCTTCGTAATAGCCATATCTTTCCAACTAAAAAGAACATTAAGTTGTGTTCGGATCCTGAAAAGATGTTAGGGAAAGGAAAATAGAAAATGCTTAAGTTAGTTTCTTGTTTTCAGTTTATCTAAAAAAAATGTAAACGAAAATGCTTCCTCTGTACAAAATTGAACTTAAAAGTTTTGGTTTCACAAAAAGCGAAAAGTGTATAGTTGAAATTTGTTTAGAAGAGGGGAATGTTGTGAGCCACATTTATTTCCGAAAAGGGAAATGAGAGGCTTAAAATTTATTTTTTATTTTGGGACAAACAAAAAAGGAAATTATCAAAGCTCATTTCGGGATGTGGGGTACAAATTTATCTTCATTTATAAGCACCTCAATCCCAACTTTTTGGGGTCGGTGGCATTAAATTTATGGAGACAATTAATTATACAAAATTAATTAACACCATAAATTCATACAAAAAAACGTAGTGGGAGTGTTTTACTTTAGATGTTCTTCCATCACAACGAGATGAAAAGTCTAATAATGTCTATGGAAAATATCATGAAGCGGAGAACTAAGAAGAGTTTCAATTATTAGTTAATGTCATATTCCATTACAAGGCGATGTTGTAAATCAACCTACAAATCATGAAACATGATCTGAATAATTAACATGTTTGTTGTTTGATAAAACTTCACCTATGCCTTTGTCCCATAAAAAACTTTTGCATTTCTTTATTGGTAATCTGGTACTCTCCTTTTAAAGAAATACTACTCCATACTTCCATAGTTGTCAGGTTCATACTATTTCTGTTTTGAGCTAATGTTTTGTTTCCCTACATTTTCCTTCCGAATTTCTACTAAATTTTATTCTCTATTCCCCCCCTGCATTTTTTGAGTTCTAAACAAAGTGTGGTTTGAAATTGTAAGTGTGAACATGCCTTGTTATGGGAGTGTAAAAGTGTTTCACGCTGCTGGTGAAGGTTTTCAAGAATTGACACACCAAGCTCCTCTGTCTCTAAAGCAAGCCTCCGGCTCTCCATGATTCTGTCACTAGACCTATTTAGCCTCTCAGTGGACATCGTCAATCGCTCCCTTTGATTTGAAGAAGCCTGAAAACATCAATAATCATCATTAGCAGCACTTAAAAGAAAAACCCATACCAGGCATAAAATAAAATGCTTTAGAATCACTATAACTCAATAAGTAAACATAATACGGAGTAAATTCATTTCTTTTTTGGCTTCTGTTTCAGTGAAAGCTTCTAAACATTGGACGATGCTTATTTTTTAAAAAGCTAGGAAGGAATTAAGAAAGAAAACTAAAATGAAGAGAACTTGTACATACTGCATGTCCATCTGCCACATCGGACTCCAGCAAAGCTTCATGGGCAGTCTGATCGAAACTAGTAGATGTTAGCTTTTTCACTTCCCTTTTCAGCTTATTAAGGTCAGATTTATATTCCCTTAGCTTAGCAAGAAGAGCAGCTTTCAGACTTGGTTGCAAACTTCTTGCTTCAAGGTCCATTTTCCGAATCTGAGGAAACTCAGCCAGCATTAAACTTCACAATAATGAAAGACAAATTGCGCATATCAACAACGAAGAGAAGAGAAGAGAGTGAAAGTTACCAGCATATCTGCTTCATCCAACCCAACTGCGAGCTCAGAAATCATAAGCTTCCTTGGATCTTCTTATGGAAATGGGAAGGAAAAAAAATTATAAACCGAAAAATGATAATCAAAGGAAAAAAACTCATATATTTGTAAACAAGAATACAAGATACAAAATGTGAATTCTATAACTCTATAAGTCGGTTAAGTCCCTACCATTATAAAACTGAGATTATTACTGGAAAAACAAAATTATGCAAGATGAAAGTTCGTGGGGTCACAGCGAAAATCACCAATTAAGAGCTATGCAAACAAATCAATCCACTATGCTGCAGAGAAGACACTGCAGCACTATCACAGTAACAGATGACGGACAGTGTGCTATTACACTTCTCTGTCACAAGCACACACAGAAACAGATGATGCAGAGGGTGTTACAACGCCTACTGGATGTACAGAATGTTGTAACTATAAAATGCGTAAAAAAAATAACACCAGATATTTTTACGCAGTTCGGAAAACTCTCCTAATCTGCGGGGCCCACGTCCGTGTAATAGCCCTCCACTAAATCACTAGATGCAAGTTACACCGGTACATAACAACATGATGAGACACCCTTCTCCGAATTGCTATGACAAAACTTCTAATCTAGGATTTCTAACCCGAACTCTGTTCAGATCCGCTTTGGCTATCACATCTCTACCGAGATCACGAGGACAAACGTGTTGGCAGCCCTCTCCTTAAGCTCTGGTTCATCTCCTGGTTGTCACGATCTGTTTTTCATTGTAGGACTCCTTCATGTAGATCGTAACTTTTCTTCACGCAAGGGAAGCTCCGGGACGCGACGGGAATGCTTTACATCAGCGTATATTCTTTGTTTTCCCTCTCAATCGCTCCCAGTAATTCCCAGGGACCTGCTGCGTATTTATAGGCTCCTCCTAACACAATCCTAGTAGGAATAGGTTAGTAGAAGTTGGTTTGAACTCTACTTCCTTAATCTTGATCCACAAGTAGCCTAAAGAGTTGGGATTCCTTCACAAGTACAGCTGGAGTTCTTATCATGTAATCACAATCCCAATAGGTCTCTAATTCAGATTGTAGCTTAAAATCTCGTGCTCAGACCTCTGATCCCGCACACTGTGTTGCAGCATCGTGCAGTATCATCTTCTGCGTCAATCTCGAAAACTGCAGCAGCTCTAGAAGTCTAAATAAAATAAACTTCTTCTAACAAATAGAGGTTTATACCTAGTAAAACATCTAACAAATATGGGATTCTATGTTGCCAAAAGATTAGCCAACACTATGGAACCAAACACAAAATCGAATCACATAGAATCTGATTTTACAAAAAAAAACACAAAATGAAAGGAAAGAAAGAAATATTCAGAAGGTAAACACCGATCAAGTTGAATTCATACCTCCAAGAGGAAGAAGAGCAGCAGAGTTGCATTTCTTAGACAAGTTGACGGACAGCTCGCAGTACTGTCTCTCGTAACCTTCAAACACCTCACTCATCTCTCTCGCGCTTCAATTCCACCTGGAAAGCAAATTAACCGAAAGATTTCGTTCAAATGCATGAAATCAAACCAGTGAATACACAGTGCAACCCTAGATCACTGAGAAAACGCAAGCGAAAGTACAATTCGATCCGATTGACAGAAAGGCGTGTGATTAACATATTGATCGTGTAAGCTTACCAGAAGGGCTCTGTGAATGATAAGAGCGTTCGATGATCCGGCACGGCGAAGTATGCGGTGGTTGTGTGATGAAATGCACCGCGAAGAACGAGTTGACTCTGTGTTGACTCAGTTGCTGCGCACAAAAAATACTAACGTGGAGTCCGATCAAAATTAAAAACCTATTTATGAAATTGGAATTGAAATTTCATGAGATTCAATTCCATAGAATTTAATTTATCAATTCCAAATCATTTTTTGCACTACCAATTCCAAATTCACATAATTTTGTGATACCAAATACCAGAATTAAAATTGAAGTCCCCAATTCTAATTCCATAGTTTGAATTCCATGTACCAAACGGGGCTTTAAATTATTTCAGTTCGAACCAAAATAGGATATAATTGAATACTCATTCTATTCTGGAGTAACTGAATACTCATTTTTCTAAAGGTTAGTTATGCTCGAAAATGAGTATTTAGTTATACAAATCATCCTAAATAGGACTAAAACATAGAGAAAGTACCAAAATAGGACTTTCATGTTTTTTCCCAGAATAGGACTTTGCACTGTGGTAATGTGGCAGTGTACATGTGCAAATTACTATATTTTTTTGGTAATGTAAGTTCTATTTCAAGAATAAAAACATGGAAGTCCTATTTTGGTATATTTTCAATGTTTTAGTACTAGTTTGGTCTTTCTCCCTATTCAATTCCATCTAAATCAATTCTATAGAATTTCAACTCTAAATTCAATTCCAATTTCATCAATTCTATGTACCAAACGAACCCTCAGAATATTTAAACTATATCCAAATTCCAAGGGTACAATTATCAAGTCCATTACTCCTAAAAAAAGTACATTATGGAGTACAATTTTGTTTACTAAAATTTTATTTAACCACCCTTCCCCATTATTGGGAGCTCCAACCAATCCGCTAATCATCACTTTTTCGATTTAATTAATTGATATGAAATTTTCAAAAAACAAAAAAAAAACAAGAATCGCCACCCTCTTTAGATTGATTTATCGTTTTTTGTTCATTTCATGATTTTTGTTTGAAAATTTACACTAAATAGGATTAAAATATAAGTCATTTCTCATTGTAGAACTTAAATTTTTTTATTTCTTAAATAAGACTTAATAATGTTTAGTGAGAGGAATAATATCCAGTGAAGATGGATATTTACTTGAATAATGACTAATGGATAATGACCAATGGTCCTACATTTAGAAATAAAAACATATAATTCTATATTGAAAATGTCATTATGTTTTAATCTTATTTAAGTAAATTCTCCTTTTTTTTGAACGGAGACTGTTCAAGAAAATTGATGTGGTAAAGGACGAGAAATCATTAAATGGGTACCTTGTAAAAGAAAGGTTGAGTACAATGAATTCCCTCACAGGAAATGTTTGAGAAAAGTTGAAGTGTACAACCACGCTAGAAACTCACTACGGTTGTCCCTATGAATGACAATCACATACTCCGTATGATTTATGCATAAATAGACAAAAATCATTTGTGAACGGCGATTACTTTGTGTAATTGTCATCCGTGGAGCACCCGTGGTGGGATTTTAGCGTTATTCACAAATAAATCACCACTTGTACACCGCAGGATTAGAACACCAATAATAACAACACACACAGGTAGGTTAGAAGTTAGGAATTATAAAAGCAAAGGTTCTATTACTGCTACTACTACTTGTATATGTACAAAATGGGCAATGCACCTGGAGTAAATCATCATCATGATCATGCAAAGCACTGTAATTTCACACCACAAATCAACATATAAAAAGCACATTAACCAAAGCAGAGCAACCTGTTATCAATATCATCATCAACAACAACAACTATTCCTATCAGTTTACAGTCGAAGAATCGGTTTCCAAACCTTGAATACTAACCTCTGGTTGCTCGTCGGGGTCGTGATCGGGGAAAACCCCAGACTTGAGAGAAGGCATAATGTTATTAACATGTAACCATGTCAAATCCCATAGGCTATCTCCCCCGAGACCACTCCGTTGAACGAGCACCCCGCTTGTCCTCATCACAACCAAACAGTTCTTCAGCAGTTCCGGAACCATCTCCTGAAGCTTCTCGCTCCTCTTGTTCCTCACCTTCACCTTCATGTACTTCTCCATCCGGTTAAGAACGCCTCGCCACAGTTTAGAGAAGGTGGTCAGTTGGGAAAGCTTTGGGAGTAACGTTAGGAACACCTTGGTCATTACCTTGAGCGCAATTACGAGTGTACCCTCCATGTTTCTGTAGTCTTTCTGGGAATGGCCCTGTGATATGTCGACCAGGTCGTCGCAGACCGTGAAGATGACCATGTCGAAACACTGCAACCACAAACCGTGGGGGAGGTAGATATCGTCAACCCCGGTCAAGCAGGCCTGGAGGGAGAGAAGGGCGTGGTTTCTAACTTCTTCACGTTGGTCCAAACACACCTTTCTCAGACCCTGTATGAGCCTCAGCCACATCTCCCCAATATCTTGGGAGAGTTTCAGAGCTTCTGTCTCCGCCATGGCTTCTCTGGCATCTCTGGACCATGAAGCCAAACACGAGATGGACCCCACCATGAGATCAATGGCAGTAACCGACCTGTCCACCTGCCCGACACGGGACTCTGCAAACTGTCTCGCTGCATCGATGCAGAGAACATAGTTGGCTGGGGACAGGTGGGCCCCGTCGGACATGATGAACATTAATGCATCAAATCCCACTTCCGAAGCTTCCAAGTGTCTGGCCGTGATTGAGAGCAGAGATGCTATTGTCCGCCACCCTGTCTGAGAACGTATGTGGCCGGGGTTCGCTTTAACGAGACGGCTGACTTCTTGAGTGATTTGCTCACAATATGCATCAGCAACACGTGCGTCTAGCTTGAGAACCAGCTGGAGTGATCTCAAAAGTTCATCGCCCAAGTCATCTTTATATGGGAGCAACCTCTGGCAGATACGGAGGAGACCAAAAACAGCCTTTTCAACCAGAGCACAAGGCATGACGGTGGAATGAACAATATTAGCAATATGATCATAAACTCCCTGCCAAAGAAGACCGATCCTGTCCCTGTTGTTCAATGTGATTGCAATCAGCAATTCCAAACAGAACACCGCGGTGTCTTCATCCTCGGGGGAACTACTTCCCTTTTGAGGTCTACCTGCTGCCCATATGAGTGCCCTTGCAAGCTGTAATAGGGAATCAGATAACAGAAACTTGCTTTCTGTGAAAATGCTGTCTATGTGGCACTTTTGAATCGTCTGAAGTGTTCGTTGATGAGCTGCGAGCTGTTGCTCAGTAGGTTGAGACCTCGGCTCTTCCGAATCTAATGAAAGAAGTTGACTAAATCGCCCCATGAGTCCGGAAGATCTCTTTGGTGTGCCGATGGATTGCATGTGTGCAGTAGATAGTGAACTAGTGAGTGGAGGCTTCCCACCGTATCCAGGTTCAGATGATGATATCATCTCAGAGTCATCATCACTAGCCACACGGGCAGGTAGAAGGCCGAGTTTGTGTAATCTCAATATGCAATCCAAAATGTTTCTCCAGCCGGCACGTATAAAGTCACCGTATTTATTTGCAATGGTAAAAACTGTAACTGTTGCCATCCTTGCTTTCGCATCATCCCCAAAAGCCAAAACAGGTTCTTCAACTGATGAAGGATTCAAGAGGGTTGTGAATTTACAGAGAGATACCACCAAATCATCCAAAACGTCCTCAAGATGGTGACAAGAAGATATCTTTGCAACAGCTAAGAACCCATCGATGCACGTTTGATAAACATCTTCGTGTTCTGCGTGATCAAACACCACAGAGATGGCAGCTATTGTTGGACCGGACATTATGGCAAACATGTCGTGGTCAAGGTACGCTCTTGAATCACACTGTATGTAAGGAGAGGTTTTCCTAGATTTACTCATCAGATCAATCCAACGGCTGGGAGTCATTTCGGTAAAGCCAACACCTTGTTCTAATGTGGTACGGATCTCGTTGCTGCAGATAGAATGGTATAGTTCTCTCAGATAATCACGTGGGAGGTCGTTACCTCCATTTATGTGTCGGTTATTTCTAATGAAATCCTCTTCAGTCATCTTCTTCTTCACTTGTACGTTATACTGGTCAGTGTTTAGCATGATCAAGGAATAAGACAATACTAAAGCAGCATCTTTATTGGCTAAAATATGCGGAGATTGCTCATAGTATCTCTCAGAAAAAGCCTCGAGCACTCTCTGTATCTTCTGGGATTCTCCAGGCAATCTGAACGTCTCCAAAAACAAACGCAATGCAGTGTCTAAGTTCATGTCTTGAAAATCAAATGTTCCGGCAAACTCATGAAGAACCTGAACACAAAACTCATCATGGTTTCCAAGAAAATCCCCGACAAGATTCTTGTCTAGTCCAGCAGTGTACCTAAAAAAGCAAGCCACACTTTGTGGATCAAGTTTTTCTGGCAGCAGGTGTGTTCCTTGGAGAAACTCTAGCCCTTTCTTTGGGTCCCGATTAAAGTGATCAGCCCCAATCGTTAATCTTCTCTTGATGTACTTTCTCCTACGAACAAACGGGACCCAATGTTCAGGATCATTATAATCCTCACATTTTACCATCCAGAATGGAGTGTACTCATCAAAATTCAAATGATGTGGGTCTGAATTGTATGATCCATTGCTTACCCTCTCAGCCATTCCCTGGATCACAGCAATCAATCCGTCTAAAGCAAGAATATGCATGGCTGAGAGAGGAGAATTCACAGGGAATGCATTTTTTGAAAGAAGGTTAGCAAGTTCCTCAAAAACATTCCCACAAGTTATATCACAATCCAAATTTGCATACATATCTACCATAAATGCTTTCTGTCTACAAAAGTCAACAAGAGCCTCCATAGCAACCTCCTGCTGCTGGTATGAAGCCCCGTAACGACTCTGTGAAAGCCTCAAGACCACACAGGAAAAAAAAGCTTCAAGCTGTAATTTCAGTTCTGTGCGTAAATGCTGATAGAGGTTAAGAACGATACTACAGACCATTGAAAGAATCAATGAACTCGTCGAGAGGCCAAATTGTATGAGGTTCCGGAAGAGTTCATCCTGTATCAAGCTCAACAGTCTAGGATGGTTCCTAATAGCTCGGCCACCTAGTTCAACTGCCGAGTTGATCAAGCCTAGAGCAAACAGAGGAACATCTTCGTCCGATGGTACAGTGTTTGATTTTGGGCTGATTCCCTTGTGCTCAACAACATTCAACAATGAGCACAAGAAGTGAAATATCTCAACCATACAGGGGACCCCGTAAGGCTCGGTTATTTGATGTAAATCATAAGGAACTGTATCCTTCCCATATTCACTCATCACCATGCTTTCATCCACTCCTGAAGGCAGTTGGCTATCATATTCAGAAGAAGCTGTCCCATTCTCTAACTTACTACTATAACCATAGCCACCATCTAGGGCAGAAACCTGCAGTAGAGAGAAAAAAATACTATATTACTACCCATCAAATAGAACAACAACATTACCCCAATGCCTCAAGGGCTCCCGCCCGTTGCGGGGTAAATGGGGGTCAAATGTACGCAACCTAATCCCTATTTTTAGAACGTAGAGTGACTGTTTCCAGATGAGTAGATGAGTAAGATGACCCATTGATGAGCGTCAAAAGTTTTATTTTGCTTTATTCCTTCATATACCCCAAAGCCAAAAAATAGTGAATCTTTTGCACTCATATCACCATCCATATATTCAAGTGTGTCAGCATATCAACCACATAGGTTTGCTACTGTTGGTTCACACATTTTGACAGAACATGCAACAGACCGGATTTTCTTGTCAGCACTTTAAACTCCTCCCCCCAAACCACACACACAAAGGAAATAATAAAAGAGAACATGGATGCAACAGAGAGACCCGATGCATATTAAGATGGGCATATGAAATTCTTATACATGTTTTAATTGATTTGGTTTTTTGCTGCATGTTTTCTGTAAGCGTTGTGATGAAAATAATCATTAACTATTCAAAGGCCATTAAGCTAATTCCTTGTCAGCACTGTTCTAAAACTCTTTCAGTCTTTCTCTACCACTCATCACCACAAAGATATAAGGTCAATTTATAAATATTTAGTATCTACTGTTACTTGTTATTTCCACTCTGCACACAAACGCACAAAATCTCCCTACTACTGTGGGATTTTACTGGGTTGTTGAGAACACAAACAAAAATCTAGGTAACAATAATGCTTGGCACCTCATGTTTTGCAGAACTGCCCCGTTTAACTATTGAGGACTGTGTATGGTCAACTTCTGGAAGGTGAGAGAAGATACACCTCACAAGTTCATGCATGGTGTGGCGTGCGATCCGTTGCAATAGCTCGCCTTTGGTTCCGGCTTGATGAAAAACTCGGTAGCAAGTGTTGACAATGGTGGAAACGTGTTGATCACTCAAGACAACAGATACTTTACTTCTCATGACAGCCAAAAGGACTTGAAGTATTTTCATGAGCACAACTTCCGAAGCAGGGTCAGTAACGTCAAATCTGCAGCTAGTCACAGCATCAACAACCAAGTGCATAGCATCTTCGATATTTGCAGTGTTCAGTTCAAGAACATCAAGAGTCAAAATGTGGTAGACAGATGACAGCGCAACACCATTGATCGGTGCCCCAGTCTCATCAGAACGGATAACTTCCAGAAACGGTTGAAGATACAATGCCGGGTTGATGGTATGCCACTGATGATGGTGCCACGAAAATATCAGCCTCCTCAAATTCTTCAGGGACTGAATTAAGGAGTGCTCTAGCTGATCATCACCAGACACGAAACGGCCACCCCACCTCATGTTCCTTCTCATCACCGCCAGCACAGCACTTACCTCTGAATTTATCATGCAAGCTAAATCATTTTTACTCGAGGAGGTAGATTCACACTCTTCTGGTTCCTCTTCAATTGCTTTAATGTTAGACTGTAGCCTTAAACGCCCCATTCTGGCACTAGGCACAACTGTCCCGATCGAGCACCGGAAATGATTGAATCAAAGCATATCCCCCGCGTCTGGAAAACACATTATAACTGATAAATTGCAGAAAACACAAATGTCTCCCTTAAATCCCTAATAGGATCAAATTCATAAACAAATCCAGTAATTGAACTGAAAATGACGTAAAATAGAGCATTTGAGAGCGAAGAAGTGCGAAAACGCCTGACCTGTGGAGAAATTCCGCGGCGGAAACTCAGACGCGGGGATGACCGTTCGGAGTGGAGTTCAGAAAGGGAGAAAAACGGAGTAAGGACGACGTCCGGTTGTGGTTTCGAAGAACTCTCAGTAGATTGGCTCTTCTCGGCTCAAGGGTGGAGAGGAACGACGAGAGGGAACAGAAGCTCGTGAACGGAGCGGAGTTTGTCTTCAGATCTCTCAGAGAGGGGTTCTTTTTTAAGGGTCTGTTTGGTTGGAGCTCATAAAATTAGTCTTTCTTCTCATTTTGAAAAGAAAATGCTTGGGTGCCACCACATGGGTGCTACCATGGGTGCACACATGCTTCACACAGACAAATACAGACGACAATTTTCTGTGTCGATCCTAGCATGGTCCTTTTGAAAAACAATACTTACGGGTAATCAAATTGGTTGGTCGGTTCGGATCGAGGTCGAAAGACATTAATCTAATATTATCAGGTTTGGTTTGACTCAACGGATTATGAGAATTAAAATATTTAAGTTTCGTACTAGCATTTTCATTTTGTACAAAAACAATACGTATCAATAAGATATCAAAATACATATATAAAATTTCTTAGAATATTTTACTCAATTTTTAATTAATTTTTAGATAGGTTTAACACTATTATCAATAATATAAAAAATCAATATGTACCACTTTTGAAAAAGATGTACGATAACTACGTGATATTATTAAAAATTTATTTGAAAATACAAATTTATAGAACTAAAAAATGAGTACTAAAACATTAAAATATAATCTAATTTTGAAAAACACTCACATTAGCAGGTAAGTCAATCGAGTTTGATCCATTTCTAGCGAGTTATTTCGAGTTTGGTCATCTTTGGGTTTGGTCTATAAAATTTTTATTCAAAACTATGTATTTTCGGGTCAGGTATTGGGTTAAAAACAAGTCAGGCGGGTCAATTTTTTCTAGATCTACTCACTATGCCTCATTTGATTTTTGACAGAAAGATGTACGATATTTTATTGATGTCATTTTTAAATCATTTTTTGTAAATATTGATACAATTTTTTTAAAAAAATCTATATATAGAAGCTACGGAGTATGTGTGTAATACATGATTTACAAAATAAAAGATGACATAGTTTATTATTTCATCAAATAATAGAAGAAAATGTGTAAAGAAAGAAGAAATAGTTTGATGGTATGAATAATAATCGTGAAGAATCAAATGAGTTAAACTGATGAAGAGTGTAATATTCAGACTCAACTCTTGACAACTAGGTCAAAAGACGGATCATATTTGGTATGAAATTCTTATTCAAATAGATTTCCTTCGAAGCTGGTTCATCCTTTTGCAAAACCTGATATTTTTCTTTTTTATTTCATTAACTGCATCATTATTCCTTAAAAAAAACTGTATTATTATGGATTTTTGTTCGTTTTCATTTTGAACTTGTTTTTGTTTGTTGGTTATAAACATATTAGTCAGGAGGATACTGGAGAGTATGTCATTTGGCTTCTAGCTAAATTCAAAAATGTGTACCCCAAATTTACAATCCCTTTTTATTTTCAAGTCAAAGACAAAACTAAACTTATATATAGCACAAAAAAGCGGTGTGCATCATTGTTTTAACGTTTCAAAACTAGTCTGCACCATTGAAAAATTATTTACAACACAAACCCTAATTGAAAAAGTTCTTTCCTAAACAAGGCCGTGATCTTTTTTCAATTTTTTTTAAAACAAAAATTCTCATTTTATTAAATAAACGAAGAATGCAAAAGTTTGACAAGCGGGATCCGGCTCCACACTTGTATAAAGAAAGAATTAACAACAGTGGAACTATGATGTTTTTTCAAAGTTTGATAAACAAAAAAAGGGTCATGTTATAAAAAGAATTTTTTTAAAAAAAACATATATATGATTAATGATTTAAGAAGTGATACCAAAGCATGAGATAACTAGATCATAATGAACACTTACATGATACATTGTCTTCCAGAGTTTGGACTGAACTCAGTCTAACCATGGTCTAAATACAAGCACACACTTCAATTACTGAACAGAAGAAAGCCTTAGTCCCAGACTCCCAGTGCATTTCCATGCCAGGAGTGACAATTTCTTGGTATACTAATGTGATGCCAAAAGAATGGCGGGTGACGTTGACCGATCAACGGGATTCTCTGCTTTCTAGCTTTTACAAAATCTTGGATTCGCACTTACGAATGTGTTCCTTTGGTTGGCTTTTTTGGGTTCACCTTTTTCTCCTTGTAGCCCTACTAAACATGTCCTTGATATTCTGTGAGTTTGTCTCCAGTTTGGCCTTCTTGTTAGTTTGCCTTCTTGTTCCAGTAGTTTTAGCATCATTTCCATTCTTTCCCTGCTGAGAGAGAGAGAGAGTTCATTTAACTATAAACCAAATGAAACCAAACAAACCCAATAAAACCCGCTCTACCCCAAGAAGTAGACCAACTTTTCCAAGAAGACCCCAACAAATAGTGAATCGTAGCGTGAGTGAGTGAAAAAAGCAAGTACAACACTCGAAGACTCAAAGTAGTATAAAGTATCTCCTCCCTCCCAAAATATGTATTATAGTTTGACATTCACAGAGTTTGAAAAGTGTTGTGAAGTAAAAAATGTATCTGTGTATGGTTAGAATTTGTTTAGACGAGAGAAAAAATATTGTGAGCCACATGTTCATTACTAAAAAAAATGTAATGAAGTGTAAAGTGTTCTTTTGGGACGTCCAAAAAAGAAAAGTGTGATGTTTTTGGGACGGAGCGAGTATTTGTCTTGCGAGTTCATTTAACAAAAACAATAGGAAAAGAAGAAAGAAAAAAACACCATTTTTCAAATTATGTGGTTTTAATTTGGGAATTCATTACTTGGTCAAGAAGATTTCCTTCTTCAGACGATGGAATGCTTTCAGCGCCCAATGCTTTTGTTTCCTTGTTTAAGTCTATCCTGCAGGAGCAATTCAGATAGGACCCAGAATTTAGTTTACACAAACCAACTACAAGAACAAATGAGTTTCAGCAACAGATTTGAACTAATGAAATGCAATACCTTAGTTCACAACAAAGGAGATTCAACCAAGGTTCTTCCTTTAAGTATTCTCCAATGATTGAAACTGTATCAGTCACTGATCTCACCAAATAACATGAACTTGAATAAGAAAATAGTCAACAGTTTTGTGTGTGTGTGTGTGTGTTGGGTGGGGGTGGGGTGGGGGGGGATTAACCAGCAACCAATATGTTAAACCGGACAAGCATGCATAGCGAATATTGGGTTGCAAGAGCCCAAGAGCTACCATCAATTAGAAGCATATATGAAGTGGAAGCCATGTTTTACTGTATTTTAAAATTAAGAGAATAGAACTATATATCGTTTATCGTAATAATTTAACAAGTAAACCCTTAGGGCATTGGGCAATAATTAAATTTACTCTGTATTTTATAACCTTTGTTTTGAAAATCGTCAAGTTAAAACAATCTTTAGCCCCCGTACTCTCGAGTAGGGGCAAGGTCCGCCCACACACACCCTCCCCAGACCTTACTTTTGTGAGACTTAACGGGGTTGTTGTAGTTGTAGTTGTTGTGTTAAACAATCATTGTTTTGGAGTGCTAAGTCTATATCTTGAATTCTTGGTACACATTTTATATTTTATAAAGATTGAAGAAGTAACATAATAAATCATCATTATCATTAAAATGACCGTTTATTTGTTTTTTAAAATATTCTATTCATCAAGATATTAAATAATCCCACCAAAGTCTTACCCTCCAAAGCTCTACATCCAAAGCGATCGTTACGTAAACTTGATCCCATTGAAATGTGATAACAGCAAAATAGGAGGTGCAAATTTTATCAATCATATGAACCATACATGTATCTTTCTTATCCCGGGCAGCAAAGTTCTTATCCAAAGTCACAAGGGTCTTCCTCAATTCTTCTACCTACAATTTGGTTAGTATTAGAGCCAAAGGATGCATGTGTGTCTATGCAGAAAGATACTCGTTGATGGTTTATCTACTATCGTTTTAGAACGACAGGGCTATATCTGTCATTGACATAAAAATAGTAATGATATTAAGGCTGATATAAACATCAGAAGAGGTTACAGCACACTCCACACCTTAAAGCACATCCATTTCAACACCTTTTCATCATTAAGTCTAAAGAACTTTGTAGATCCCATTTCTGCTTTTAGAAAAACAGAGCAAAAACGAATTAGTATTGTTGAGCATTTCATTTCGAAGCTAAAACCTTAACAGCACAAGCGCGATTAACAGAAAGTACCAATGGCATTTAGCATTTTAACTAATACGGAGTAGCATGTTAAGATAACCTTTGAAATCACAAACTACTTGCATCGATTTCTCTGCAACTGACGAAAGATACTGATACCCAGGATAATCGCTGACATACATTATTTCGTCCAACTGCCTAAACATTCCTGAATCGTCTCCTTTCTGCATAGAAAATCATATCATTAATAATGAACAAAAACAACTTCTATCCAGTGCTTCAGTCCACAAAAACTTTTACATTTTCCAAGGGTCGCCCATACTACAAGAGAAAATAAGAGATAAAACAATGAAGCCTTTGCCTGGTATAAAGAAACACAAAAATAAATAATCACATATCTGCATGCTAAAAGAACAAATATGGAAAATGAATATATCGAAAGGTACATGAAAGATAAATCCCACTATGTACTAGCTTAAGGTAAATAATGGACTAAATAAAAACAACTCAATAAACTTCCCAACTTCCTTTGATTATTAATTTCAATGAAGTTTCGGGCAGTAAATGTTATGCACCATGCATCTAACAGAAACAATCTCTGTTTTTTTACAGGGTAAGAAGGTACTATACATCTTGACCTCTGAGACCCCAGCAGAGTTGGAATTATACAAGGTTCTTTTCTGTGACTCATACCTTCTTCATTCGTGCTTCCTCAAAAAGTGGCAGCAAAACAAATACAGGATCAATTGGAGTGGCAATATATAAGCGCCCATCTACATTAGGATGCAAATTATATTTGAGTACGTTAATAGTACGTCTTGGAAATCGCATAATTTCATCTCAAATTAAATACTTTCCTACCTTCACACACATAATCCCCAAGAAACCAAGAGCCAAAAGGTTGCTTGAACCAATGAACTTCTTGAAGAGTTCCATCAGCGAAAAGATAACATGTTGGGTCTCCTGTTTTTAAAAGTTAGTGTCACCAAGACAATACATGGTCTACAAATGAGTATACCATAAAATGGTACTCCCTTCGTCCAAGTTGGTTCTTCCCATCACGCATATCAGGCATTACGAGGCTTGACCGACTTTATTTTCAACTCAACTTATTTATTTGTAGGTGTAAAATTCAAAAATAAAATTTATACATTTAAAAATATATAACCCATGTAAGTTCGACTCTCCACTTAAGCCATGGCTGCGGTCAAACCCAAGTAAAAATCCAAACTTTTGCCTAGAAACAGACCAAAAATTATGAGAAGCTCTAAAGAATACCAGATTTGGGATGCCTGAGAGATAAAAATTTCCCCGAGTCATCCTCATTTGTAGAAGAAGGATCTGCAATTATGAGTACAAAAGCTTTGTGAGAGAATAAAAGTATGAGCATCAAATCTGGCGCTGAAACTGTGGACGGACCTGGGGCGATAAGAACACGAGCTTCGTCAACACCTTCCCACCAATCCATGGAACCTATTGTCAGCCAAAACAGAGCGGATTGAAGACGATGAATGAACAATTGATAACAGAAATGAAGGGTCGATTTTTTTAGCTCAGCGGACAAATTGAACGAATTTCCACTCTCTCCTGTCTTGTTCGAAGAGCGGTAAGAAAATACAAGAGAAAATAGATTCATAGATGTTGATATTTTTAATTAAAAAAAGGCATTTACTGTTCCGGCGGCTCATCCTCCGGCGACCTCTCCTCTTTTTAAGCGTACTGGCGGACGGAGTGGCGGGAGTCGTGATGCAGGCTTAGGTTTGTTTCCTCAAATATCTACCGTTCATTCGTTGTAAATTAAAAAAAAACACTTTTTCAATTTACATGAAATTTAAGAAAAATGTTACGGATTATAATACGGAGTATAAATTTTACGGATTATAAAATAATTTAAGAAATTTTAAGTCATAAGTTTAAATATATAATTTTACTTTTTTGATTTTATACTTATTATAAACTTAATTAAATAAAAATTAATTTCAATTAAACACTGTAAACCATAATGTAAGCTTTCAATTACGGTGGAAAGAGTATAATTAAAATTTATTTTAGATAAAAGAACACTAGTATCACACCCGTGCGTTGCACGGGTCATTTTTATGTTATTAAATTCAGATCATTTTTTAATGATAAAAAATGAGATGCAATAGAATATAGAGATTATATTATTTGAAAGTACAAAATATCAATGTTTTACAAATTTCGAAAGACTTCTTTATAGGCATCAATAAATTTGTATTACTATTAAATATATATTTGCGTGTAGTAATTATTTAAAATAAAGAAAATCAATCGACTATTAATATTATTAGGGTATTTATTAAATTATATCCGTACATAATTACTAATTCCAAATAAGAATGGAATCCAGTTTTTTCATAAATTAGGAAATTAGAAAATACGTCTAATTAATTTAGGTATTTAAATGGAAATTTGTATTTTTTTTTCCTTTTTGGTCTCTCGTGACTACTTGAATTGAATTTAAATATTTAAATTATGCCATTATTTACTTTCTGCAATACTAAATTATTAATAGCTCATAAAAATTAATCTTATTCACAATTTATAAACTAACGTAATTTGCAAATAGTGAATAATTTAGGAAAGAAAATAAAATTAAAGCCTATTTCTCACTTAAACTCTTATCATTAATAAATTTACTTTTTATTACTCGGGTATTAAAACTAAATTAAAATTGTTCAAAAAAAATGAACACGTATTTCCATAAAAGCCAAAATTATTTCCTAAATTATTAACTGTTTACTCACCTTGGTTCCCATGACATTGGGAATCAATGTCATGGGATGACCCGGGGGCGCTCCAAAGTCAAAATCAACTTGTGGAGTGCAGTTGAAGGGGGTGGGGGGGTGCGTTCGGGTCGGGGCGGGGTGGGGGGGTTTACCGGGGGGGTTAGGGGGTAGGAACCGTCAATTTTACGAACAGGGCACCGGAGCGCCCCCGGTCCAATGTCATGGGAACCTTGCCCCTGTTTACTAATTTAATTAGTAAATCCCGTGCATACCCTTTAAATTATATATGATTCAATAATTTAAAAATACTCTTTGTGGAATACATGAAATAAGTCTATTACCATAGATGAATATGCAATATATTTAAGGTGAAAAGTAACTTAATTTTTTTCTAACTTAATATAGGAGCTAAATTAAATAAATTAATTTAGCTCCTATATTAAGTTACTTTCAACCGAATGAAAACATTGACGTGATTTCCCCATAACGTACAATTCAACCGAACACCACTACAAAAAAAGTTATAATTATTTTTAAATATAATATGTGTCGCAATTTTGTAGTAATTAGCTAACCATAAAATAACGTATCATGCAAATGAATTATTTAGTAATTTTTCAAAGTATAATATTTTTTTAATTAAAATGAGTTTGGTTATTAAAAAGTCACTTACTTGTGGTTCTCCAAGGTAACTTCCATCATTTGCTCTGTGGCATTATTAACCATACGGGTTTCGGGCGCAGTTCGACGAACTACTTTCCCGATTATATCTGAAAATCCATAAAAATACAATTTTAAAAATTTCATAATCATAATACATAAAATGTATTTCATATGTGCAAGTATTTAAGTTATGTAAATGTAAATGACTCTTACCAACTAAAAAGACTCGGTCAGCAAACTTTGTTTTGAGTACATCTTCAAAACTCTTAAAGTAGAATCAAAAATTAGGAAATCCATTTTCTGTTAGTTTTTGAATCTTGGTCTTTCCCAAAAATTGGAGCATGCAAGGGTGATTGGTAGTTTTTGTGCCTTGGGAAATTGCGTAAAACTTTGACCCTCATGATTAAGTAAACCGCATTTTCTTCAAAGCTTGTTTGAATGTGCTTATATCAGTATCTTTAATCTGAGCATGGATCCGATCGCCCTAACAACAAATATAAAACGTTAATCTATAATTAAATTTATATTTTTTGTTTAAAGATCTATTATATGTAAAATATAAAACAATGTAGAACTAACATTGAGTCGTGGAAAACAACATCAAACGATTCCGGCCCTCGAGAATGAGCAGCAACGTGGTAAACTCTAATTGCTCTTAGCTTCATCATCAACAACCCGGATTTTTCATGAACATTTTGTAGGGCGGTAATCATTCCCATGTTCGGCCAAAAACAGAGGTGAAGCACCGATTAATTAAAACTCTCTAAAACTCTCGTTTCCTGAACACTCATTTAATTTTCTGGCACGGTAAGGTAGCGTATTTATACTATCTTGAATTTTCACGAAGAATTAAAGTTTTTTATGGTAATGGTAATTATAATTACATACAAATATACAGTTATGGTTTATTACGGTAATCTATTATATTATGGTAACGAAAGGAAATTGTGGTAATTACAATTAAAGTTTATGGTAACATATAATTCCTTTCTCCGGAATTTCAAGCAAATACAACTAAAGTTTATTATGGTAATTACATCTTTAAATACCTTTTATGTTACCTTTTATTATTACCATTCGTATAAATTGTTTTATTTCATACGTTTTTATATACAAAAATATAGGAGCTAAATTAAATAAAATTTCCATTCCTACCTTTTTATACACATTTATATTAAATTACCATTAACATTCGTTACCATTTTAATTACACGGTTATATTAAATTACCATTTTTAGTTGAGCATTCGTTACCTTTTTTTATACACGGTTTTTAAACCTTTTTTTATACACGGTTATTTAAAATTACACGGTTATATGTTGATCACAATTACCCTAATTTTATATTCACGGTAATATTAATTGAGTAATTACTCAATTACGGTAAGTAAATTAAATTAAATTTCCATTCGTTACCTCTTTTACACACGTTTATATTAAATTAACATTCGTTACGATTTTAATTACACGGTTATATTAAATTACCATTTTTTAGTTGAGCATTCGTTACCTTTTTTATACACGGTTATTTTAAATTACACGGTTATATGTTGAGCATTCGTTACCTTTTTTATACACGGTTTTTATACCTTTTTCATACCATTTTTATCCACGGTTATTTTAATGATCCATGAATTAACATTTAGTAATTACCATATGGAGTGAAGAATTACCATATTTTCTACACCATGAAATGGGCGGGAAAAGAACAATGCAAATTCATGGCTTTTTAAATAATAGATAGATTGCAGGCGATATGTTCATTGCTACAAAAATAAGATAACCGAGAAGTATTCTTAAGACTCCCAAAAAGAGAATTGATTTTTAAAAGTTAAGATGTAAAATTCTAAGAAAAATACTCTCATTCTGTCCCTTATTATTTAGGGTATATCTGAGTTGCAATTCTCATGACTATATTTTGATGGATTAAAGTACGGGTAAATTTCACAAATGGTACCTGAATTTTAGCTGGAATTTCGAATTAGTATCTGAACTTCAAATCCTTTCACAAAAATCCCTGAACTTACACAATCTTTTCACTAATGAGCCATTAGCCCGTTTCTAGGTTAACTTCTGGTCATTAGGGCCAAATTCGAATTTTATATATTTTAAAATTTTCAATTTGACCCCATTTCTTCTTTTCTTTTCTTCCACGCCCCGCCGCCGCCGCCCGCCGGTCAAAGTTGCCGGAAAATGAACTTTTTCCGATTCCGGCGGGACCAATGTCATTCTCTTCGTCTTGAGACGAGGATCAATAATATCCAAACTATTTTGTCTAATTTGGCCTGTAACTTCTCGAATCTGAATTTTTCTACTCGAAAAAACCCTAAAATTCGAAATTGGATCCAAAATTGGGGGTTTTGCAAATCTTCATCAAATCTTGCAATTGAGGGGTCCTTGGAGGTCCTTGCAATTTTGGATCCAATTTCGAATTTTAGGGTTTTTTCGAGTAGAAAAATTCAGATTCGAGAAGTTACAGGCCAAATTAGACAAAATGGTTTGGATATTATTGATCCTCGTCTCAAGACGAAGAGAATGACATTGGTCCCGCCGGAATCGGAAAAAGTTCATTTTCCGGCAACTTTGACCGGCGGGCGGCGGCAGCGGGGCGTGGAAGAAAAGAAAAGAAGAAATGGGGTCAAATTGAAAATTTTAAAATATATAAAATTCGAATTTGGCCCTAATGACCGGAAGTTAACCTAGAAACGGGCTAATGGCTCATTAGTGAAAGGATTGTGTAAGTTCAGGGATTTTTGTGAAAGAATTTGAAGTTCAGGTACTACTTCGAAATTCTAGCTAAAGTTCAGGTACCATTTGTGAAATTTACCCATTAAAGTACATCACTTATAAGTATATTTCAGTGGATTAAAGTACATCACTTATAGACCTGGGTCATGTTTTTTATTAAAATCAATTCAAATCAGATCAGAAACAACTTTAAATATAACTATATTTAAATCAGATCAGAACTTATTCTAATCAAATCAAAATTATTCAGATCAGGTGAAGAGAACAGAGCCCTAGTCTCAAACATTAATTAATGTCACACAAAAAGATAGCAGTAGCAACAAACTACTCCGTCCATTCTAAATTAACTTGTTTGTTTACTATTAACATAGTCAAACTCTATTTACTTTCTTTCTCTTTTTTCGAAAGTCATTTATAAATCTTTTGATGTAGTATATTAATAAGTAATTTTTATTTTTAATTCTACACTATTTTTCATATAAAATAATTTAAAAATAATTTCAATCAAATATCGTAAACCGTAACAAGCAATATAAATTGGGAGAGCGGGAGTACTACAGTACTACTACATGAAGTAGGAAATAGTAATCTCAGTATAAAGGCAACATAGTTAGTAGAGTAATCTAGTAGTAATCACAAGTTCTTGTTGATAATCTTCTTCATACAGGACCATTACACAAACATATATTAACAGAAGTAGAGAGTGTATGATTTGAAAAGGGTAACTAAAAATCAGCAGTGAAATCCATTTACTAGTGACTGATGAAATATGCACACAGCTTCACATCATATATGGTTGCATCATCATCATCATCATCACATGTCCATGCCATCCAAGAATGTGTATCCATCTTCTTCATCATCATTCAATTTATCAGCCAAGGCCAAGTTGCTGATACAATTTTAAATGCATCATCATGTCTTTAAGTGTAATCATCCATGCATGCATACATTGTCCCAAATAATACTCATGTTTGTTCAAATGATCTTATCATTTGGTATTTAGGTTGTTAAGGCTTTCCTTTTTTTTTTGGGGAAAATTACTTGGAAAAAAAGAGACAATTTCCTTTTATAGGGTATGACTCTTTGCTTGCCTTAGTGGGCTTTATGTGATTTGAGTCTAGTTGCTAGTGTTTGTATATGTGTGTCTTGGGTCCGTGTCCTAACTTTGCTAATGTATTGCGTTCACTTTGTGCTCTAGTGATTTGAGTATGAGATCTCTTGGAAACGACCACTCCTTCTGAAAGGGGTAAGGTGTGCGTAGAATTGTAGAAACACCCTCATTTTTGTGTGATTTTACTCGCTTGTTGTTGTTGGTGTTGTACTCGTTGATTAAAAAATAATATAATCACATTTTACTTTATAAATATTTTAATGCAATTTTTAAATATATAAAATTTATTTCTAATTTAAAATCAATTATAAATAAATTGAATAAAAAATAATGTAATCATGTCATAAATCACACCGTTAACTTTCAATTGGGATGGAGTAAATTCTACTCCCTCCCTCCCTAAATTATTGTCCTATTTACTATCCCATGCTTCTAATAACTTTTGTTTACGTGTGTGTTTTCATTTGATAAATAAAGTAGACTTCCTTAAAAAAACAGCACTTATTACTACTACAACTGTTGTTGTTGTTGTTGTTGTTGTTATTATTATTATTATTAACAAGACACCATTTTTGGGTTGGAAGAGTGATGAACCACAAACCACCTTACCTCACACAGTTGAAGCGAAAACTGACAACGCGTTTCAACCTCCTGTTGTAGAAGAAGAAGTGGTACGCCCATCTGCAAAACACGCACAGAAATTACCATTTACTATGCATTAGCAATAAACCAAAATCTAATCCCTCCCCTTTCTCCTAACCTCAATTGACCAAATCCAATATTGCAATATGGCAGGGTATCAAAATAGACATCTTGTATAGAGTGAAAGGGTTATAGCTAGGAAAACTCAAAGCATAATATTCAATAGAGGATCATAACTCGTAAGATCGTGTGAATAAGTAAATATATAATAGTGCATTTACACATGACAAAACTCATGTGTCAAATATTATCAAAGATGTCTCACAAAGTAGCATTGAACCCAAAAATAATACTCTAATTTTTGTGACCGATTGAATAGACATATTGGGCACCAAAGATCAAACTCATCAGAGTCATATGAATGGAAAGCTTACAAGGTTCCCTTTTCATGATAAGGATCTGCATCAGCCTCTGGATTGTAACTATAAATTTCACATTCGGAGATTTTCACAACCTGCAACCATTGTATGTTAATAACTGACCATTATAACCATCTCATAATGTTTTATCAAAATAAACACACCTCATCCAAAGCCTTGTACAAGGTCTCCAACAGAGGACTGTCCTCGTTTGTCTCAAACCATTCCTGCAAAAAACATGAGACTAATAAACATAGTCTCTAACCTCCCAAAATGAACAAATTAAAGTTCTGTCTCATGAACCACCTAAAAAGAGAAAGAAGAAAATTATCCATAACTCATATGGGCATATCAGATCATTGAATTAACCATAGAATCTAACTACCTTGGATGCCTCAAACATGTAAGTATCAAATGTCTGCTTAAAACTATCCCAGTTTTCTTCCGTAAAAAATTGTTGGCAATTCACTGCACTGATAAACCAGAAAATTGCAAAATTGTGCCATAAAATAAAACAAGAATCAGTACAGGCAAGATGGCGGAAATTGGTTTTGGGAAATGGAGAGACTTGAACTCTCAGCTCCACCTGGAGCAACAGTAATCTAAACTGTCTGTCAAACCATCTGACAACACTCCCAATGCTGTACGATTGGACTATATAGTGGGATGCCATATCGCCCAAAAAAAGCTGACAGTGGCATTACCCATAATCCAACTTCTCAGCTCATGTGAAAAAATCTACATACAGAGTTACCTGAAGTCATGATCGGGATAGATGTGGTTGAGTGTAAGGAGCAGATAAATCAATGTCTTTCGGCTGGAATACAAATTATACAAGTATATTATGACCCATTTAAATAGTTAAAAATTAAGAGGCCAGCCAATTAGGTTGATTCACCACCTGGATCTACAACATAGATAATCAATCGGTGAAGATGAGTCAGAGTCAGAAGACTTTCCAAGGTAATCTAGAATCTGAAAGGATTAAATAGAATTCAAATTTTAATTCATAAAAAATCATTACACTGCCAATGGGTAATTATCCTATAAGAAGATTAGTTTTTGAACACCTACATCACTACATAAGCAATGAAGATAGCATTAAAAAGGTAGGATTTAATATAAAAATTTGTTATCTCATATGAGAGAAGAAGAAGAAGAAATAAGTTCAGATATGGAAATTTAAAAGTAAGACATGCGACACATGCAGGGCAGTTGTTCTTTAATAACATTGACTAACTGAGATCATATAGGAAGAAATAAAGTGAATAGTGGAATTGAATAAAAAAGAAAAACATTAAGTATAGGGAAGCAACAAAAAAATATCTATGAGAACAGATAACCTCATTTTCCAAGCTGAGAGACAGCTTCTTATCAGTCCCTGTGTGTTTGCCTGGAAACACATGGTAAAAAAACTTTTGATCCATAGATAGCCAAAATACAACATAGTCCGCTTTCAAAAAGAATAACAATACTTACAAGAGTAAGCTTCAAGAGATCCCTTAACCGTGCGCTCTCCTAGATTCACATGACTCAAGAAGTCACTTATACTGAAAGCATAAAGAGTGTTTTCCCATTAAAAGAACTTTAAACTAAATCAATTTTAATTTGGATAGAAAAATGAAACAAATGAAGGTGATAAAATCATAAAATAACTATTATTATACGAGCACAATGCTAGGTTAGGCAAACAACTAACATGTATATAAAGGTCATCAAATATCTTTTATCATGACAACAAAGATATTTTAGGACTTACTGATCAAGTGGAGTGTATTCCAAGAACTTCATAGCAAATATATCCAAAGAGAACCTAGCTGAAAAAAGGGTTCAGACTTCATTAATATACGACTAACAGTTGAAAGCGCGAGGTTAAGTCTGTGACAACAGTCAAGAAAATACATAGCAGCTCCTTATCAACAATTAATGTATGATAGTAACCCTATATATAGTTTTTGGGAGTTCACAAGGTCTTGCAAGAAAGTGACAAATGTGCAGACTATTACACTAAAATTGTTCTTGAGCATCCGCCAAATAGCATTTTTTCTGTTGAGCAGTAATTATTTAGTTATAATATCCTAGCATATTGTTTTGGCTTTGGCATCAAGTGGCATGTTTGTTAACTGTTACTCCATATTATCTTTTTAATCCCCTAACTACATGAAGTGCAACTCCTGACCCCACTCCCCACAAATGTAACCATATTCCCAATGTGATAATAGCAAAATTGCTATCTACTCCAAGGCCTGGTAAAAAAACTAGAGCTAGCGATGAGTATACCAGTTTCTGGTTTGATTTTTCAGGTTCAGATTACGTTTATGTCGGTTTTGAAACATGGAACCAAATAGAAATTGAAAGCATTCACTTGAAGATCAGTTTTGTTAGAGTCTGATTAGGGTTGCAGAACTGGAAAAGGATTGACTCCAATTCAGCCTGATTTTGGTTCTAATCATGTTTTGTGCTGTTTAATCAGTACGTTCCATGCAACACACATTATTTTACCATGAATAACTAGTCAAACAAGTAAAATAAAAACATACTCCCGTACAAAGGTTCCACATTCCTTTCTGCCTACCAAAAAAATTTCACTTTCCATTTATGCAAAGTTTTCTGTGTCTAATACTCCCTCAGTCTCAAAACTATCATCCTAGTTGGACTTTTTTAGGTCACTTTAATCACAAATTGTGAAAAAATATACTCCGTATTTAATTATAACATACATTTCATATAATTGAGTTTATATAAAGATGTAGTTTAGAAATATAAAATTTGCGAATCTAAGGTATATGTTCAAAAAAGGCATTAGCAAGCATACAATCCTCCTTTAGAGGGGATATCAAGTAACAAATTCCAAATAAGATTGTATGAATCATGAGAAAAGCTAATAGATAATCGCTGGAAACAAATAAAGGTCGAAGAAGCACGGGACACAGCGAACCTGGGGAGAAATCGGCCGTCGGTGGTGTTGGCGGGCGGCGGCTAGAGGCGGAAGGTGCGGACCCTGGAGTGAAGTTTCTTTTTCCGGCAATGGCGAGATGCCGTGGACGGACGGGGTTTTGGATTGGAAGTAGGCGATCTGGGCCGGGTAGCGGGGAAAGTAAGATCTGATTAGACGAATATATTTCTTTGGGAATTGGGACTTCGGAGTTCGGAGGATCTTTTAATTTTTTCTTTCATTAAATTATTATTCCCTCCTTCCCAAAAAAAAATTAATCGTACAATACATTAAACAAAATAACTTCTTAAATTTTTCTAATCATCTTATTTAAAAATTAATATATAAATCAAAAATAAAATTTACATATTAAAAATAGAAATCACTTTAAAAAAAACTAAAACATATGGAAAAGTATCAAAATAAGACTTACATGTTTTTTTCTCCGAAATAGGATTTTGCACTGTGATAATATGACTTTACACTGTAGTAATGTAGCAGTCTGAATGTGCAATTGTGCACATTACTATATTTTTTGGTAATGTATATGACCATGTTTGATTATGTAAGTCCTATTTCGGGAGACAAGAGAAGACAAAAATATTTTATTTTATCAAATAATCATTGTAAAATGAAATTAACCAAAGTTTTTGTAATTTTTAAATAGTAAAATATGACAATCTTTTTAGGACGGAACGAGTAAAACGTGCTCAATAACTAAGGGCATGTTTGGTTGGAGACTTGGAGGGGAGGGAAGGGGACGGAAGAACATTTGAATCTCTCTCCTTGTTTGGTGTAAATATATAACCCGAAATTTTAGCTTTAATTTCCTCCCCTATACTCCAATTAAAAATAAAAAATTTAAATTATAAAAATCAAAATAAAAAATACAGGTAATAACTTTTAGAAAAAAATAAATTTAATAAAAATAAATTTAAAACAAAATATATAAAATATAAAAAATTAAAAATAAAATCCTTCCTTCCCCTTCCACAAAACAAGGTGAAGGAAATCCTTTTTCATCCATTCACATTCCCTCACATCCCTTCCCCTCCCAACCAAATAGACCTTAAATGTTTTTTTCAAATTAGCCCCTAAAATAAATTAATTGTCGAGATGGTTCTCGTTACTTGAAAAAATATTCAGTTTAGTCCATTAACTAAAGCTCGTCAAAACGACATTAAAACTTATACTAATTTTTCAAAGAGATCCTTTCTAATTTTATATTTTCTCAAATTTATCCATTTTCGAAATAAAACTCAAAAAATATGAGGGAAATTTTAAATTTTGTACAATACGAATATAATAAATAAAATAAAAAAATAATTTTATAAATTTTAAAGTAAATGTTTCAAGTTATTTACAATTATTTAGAAGAATATTATGTAAATAAAACATTTAATACTCCTTTCGTGCTACTCATGTTAATAGGAAATTCTAGATCAATTTTCAGTTATATTTATTTGAAAATAATTGTGATCAAACATCATAATTCGAAACATGAGTCTTATTTCTGAATGATGAATTTGTGAAAACGCATAGTTATTAAGTACTATCTACAAAATCTACTCTTCTTCTTTGTTTATGTTTGCTTTTTTTCTTTTTCTATTTTTGTTTTTTTCAAAAAAAAGGAATTGTATGGTTAAATGAATAAATAATAACTAGTCGTCCTAAAATTAATTTCGCATGAAAAAATTAAAATATAAGTAAAACATTGAAAATATATCCAAATTAGATTTCCACCATGCAGAGATGCAAGAGACTTACATTCGGAGGTGGAAATTAGATTTCCACCATGGAGAAATGCATGACTTATAATAAAGTGTCAAATACTAGATTATGATGGTTAAGTAGCCATTATAGTTGTGATGCATTCTTTGTTATATGTTTGCTCTCTACTTGTAGTGCTTTTTTCATTAACTTTAGTTTGCTATGTCTCTCTGTGTTCCTTCCTTACGAAATATTTGTCTAATTTCTCTCTTTGATAACCGTCTGGACAATAACATATATAAATTCCATGATACATTACGTAGTGAAAAAAAATACAAAAAAATTATTCTTGTATAAATAAATAATAAGGAAAATAAATTTATTTAATACAAGTAGTCAAAAAGTCACAGCAAGACATGCTCTCTCCGATCATAAAAACATTTCCCTATTTTACTTTTTTTAGGCAAACATTAACACTTTTTTACCACAAATTAAACATAACCTAAATAATTAAATATTACGGAGTATAAAAATTTAATATATCAAAACCATATCATAAAATAAAACCAATCATATTGAATTTATATTCTCATTTCACAACGTACATTCGGTTAAGACTTCCCCTTCCCATTCAACTGTCTGGCAGTTACTAAATCTTTTACAAATTCAAAATTTCAGTTTGTGATTAATTATCTCGACAATTATAAATAAATATATCAAATCTCCCTCCCTGCATTCCATTTTCCACAATTATCAGTATTATTATCATTTATCATTGGATTAATTACTTAATTTCTCTCATGCGACAATGGAGCACCAAGAAGGAGGAGAACTCGGGATCAAAATACAGAACGACCAACCCTTTCCGGCGGAGGCACCGACGGGAGGCCGGAAGAAGCGGACGGTGGCGGCCGGGGTACAGAAAACACTCTCGAAGACATCGCTGCTGGTGAACTTCCTCCCGACGGGGACGCTACTGACGTTCGAGATGGTCCTCCCCAGCGTGTACGNATTATCAGTATTATTATCATTTATCATTGGATTAATTACTTAATTTCTCTCATGCGACAATGGAGCACCAAGAAGGAGGAGAACTCGGGATCAAAATACAGAACGACCAACCCTTTCCGGCGGAGGCACCGACGGGAGGCCGGAAGAAGCGGACGGTGGCGGCCGGGGTACAGAAAACACTCTCGAAGACATCGCTGCTGGTGAACTTCCTCCCGACGGGGACGCTACTGACGTTCGAGATGGTCCTCCCCAGCGTGTACGGCAAGGGGCAGTGCTCCTCCGTGAGCACCACCATGATCCTCGTCCTCCTCGCCATGTGCGCCCTCTCCTGCTTCTTCTTCCACTTCACTGACAGCTTCCGCGGCGGCCCCGATGGCCGGAAAGTCTACTACGGCTTCGTCACCCCCCGGGGGCTGGCAGTGTTCAAGAGCGACCCGGGGGTGGAAGTCCCAAAGGACGACCGGTACAAGGTCGGGGTCACCGACTTCGTGCACGCCGTGATGTCCGTGGTGGTTTTCGCGGCGATCGCATTCTCTGACCACCGCGTGACGGACTGCCTGTTCCCCGGCCATGGGAAGGAGATGGATGAAGTGATGCAGAGCTTCCCGTTGATGGTGGGGATAATTTGCAGTGGACTGTTTCTCGTCTTCCCCAACACTAGATATGGTGTTGGTTGCTTGTCCGCCTAATCATATGATGCAATAATAATAATAATATGCCTAATTGTTTCTAGTGTTTCTGGTACGCGTAAAACTGTTTCTAATTGTATTTTGTGGCTTCATCAGTATGTATAACAATGTATTAATGTGACAATTCATTATTAGATATCAAGTCATTCACCATTATTTCTCCAAGTGTGGAAAATTATCACTCAAGTCTTAACCAAATGAAAGTTAAAATCAAATCAATATGCAAATCACAAAAGCTGTTCACACCTCTAAAATAGAGTCTAAAGCTAGTAGTTTCATAATAAATACGAATCGAGAAAAAAAAGAGCAGGTTTAGATCACATAGATAGATCTTGTCGAGTTATCGTACCTTGAAACATTGGTCTTACATCTTCAAATCTGTAGTCCAGGTGCCTTGGACACTTGGGTGTTTGGTGACATGTCTAGTCTTCATCTTCACCACCTTTCTCCCCAGTGAATTCCTTAGCCTTGTTGCTTGTAACAGAATTTCTTCCGGGGTCAAGTTTTTAACCGAGACAACACGCTCATTCTTGTTTTCTGATCATCCAAGAAAACCCGTATGAGTTTTAGTGGCTTCACGTTAGTTT